GAAGCCTGAGAGACACAAGACTCACACTTCTTCATTTCAGTCAAAGATAAAGATTCACAATCTTTGCCATGTATACAAAATTAATTAAAAATCCATTTATTATGTATTTTAAAATGGTATCACAAGTTTTTCACCTTTTCTTTTTCTTCAAATCTATGAGCAATAATAAAGGTTGAAAATAGTTTAATCCATCATGAAGACAAACTGGTTGTTTTATACTAATAATTCTATGTTTACTGATGATAATGCACAACATTTAATATCTGCTTTATAATGAGTATTATTTAATGATGTTTGCGTCATTAAATGCTGGACCAAAAATATAAGAAGGGGGTCATCTAGTGGTACTCATTTATCATTACAGCTATGTTGTATCTTACTTTTTTTTTCTGAAATACTTAAATACTTTTTTGTTACCCTAATGTATTATCTTTAACATAGCGTGATACAAAATATGTAATTGATCAGAGAAAAATCTATTCAAATTTGTGGGAAAGAGGATAATCCACAGCCGAATTTTGTGATGGATTCCTGATTATTCCATTTTGTTGGCAACTCTAAAAGCCTTTTCCCGCTTAAGTATTATTAAAAATAATAATACTTGGTTTAATTTTTTTTCTTAAACTGATGAAAATATGGCAAGCTATAAACCCCTTTAATCATTGAAGCTTTCACATTCTACTTTGATCCCTCACCCACACTCTGTATCTGCAGTGGAGTACAAAAAATACTGAAGGTTTTTATGTTTCCATTCAATTAAAACTTTCTCTAAAAGTAACAAACCTATTTGATCAATAATCACAGTGAAACTGAAGGAAAAGTAACGATTGCTTTCAGTAAAGCCTTCTAAAAAAAAAAAAAAAACTTAATGTGGCCCCGATTTACTCTCCCAGCCATAATCAAATTCAATGTAACCGGCTGGATTTAAAGGTCACTTGATTAGTAAGCAGACTCCCTTTTTGTCTGATTATGTCTGAGCGATTCAGTGGGATATCAGAGATTTGTTAGAGAGCATAAATGAACAAACAGATTCCACAAGTTTAGAGACACAAAGATATTACACATCACTGAGATTATGTTATAACTTTAGAGTAGCTGCAAAGATCCACCCCTCAGGTGGTAGAAACTATTGACACAACAGCTATAAATGATGACCTCTACAAATGTGGTGCTTATGGAGAAGTGTCATAAAGAAAGTCACTGTGAAAAGAAAGTTTTTGTTTTCAAGAAGTATAAATGCAAAAGGAGGGAAAAATACTGACTGCACATGGTTGTTAAACACTATGGTGAAACATGGTGGGGATATCATAATGCTGAGGGGACCATTTTTTCAGCAGGGAACGGTAAGCTGTCTAGTATTGATGGCATCATTTAAGGAACTGGGCAATAGTTATTCAGTTATACAAGTTAGAATCTACATTCTTAAACCTTAATCCATCAGAAGCTACATTCTTTGCTCGCCGTCTTTGAAACATTTAGAAAAGCATATTTCACATTAACATGTAGGGTTTTTAACAATACAATGTCATTAAAGAAAACAGATTTGCTTTTGTCAATTTAAGATATTTTAATTTCCTGTCTTCCCTCATTAAAGCTCAATATAATCTAAACAATAAATAGAGCAGTTTATTTATGTATGTTATTCAACTCTGGGTTCAATGTTCTTTAAAGTGTAACTAAAGCTTTGAAATGCCCTTCATGATCTCATTTGATTGATTTTTAGGTCTAATTCTTTAATTTCTAAACTTATTCTTCAATTTTAGAGTAAAGTATTATTACCCAACGAGGACCCTCAAACTGTCCTCTTTATAGAGGAATCACAAACTTGTCTGATTGATGGATTGCAATTTATTGCAATTTATTTGTAAAAGCAACCAGCAATCACCATTAAATGCGACAGGAGTCTTGTTTTTTACCCACTGTTTTTGATCTGGGTTTCTTTCTTAGTAACAAGTTTTTGAACTGTATGAATATAGTCTGGTGTGCAGAACAAAATAGTTTTTTTGCTGATCTGACAAACGGTGACCTTTATATTTTATAACAACCAGAACTTGACCTTTTCATTGAGCTTACTTCTCTTGCTTCTGCCATCTTTCCAGTCACAAACTCCAATTTAAGACTTATACAAGCTAGCTTTCAGTTAAGGAAAAAACATATTTTAGACATTTACAATATTCATTTGCCATGTTAATTTGACAATCTTGCTACTGATGTATAATAACTTTTTCCCATTTAAGATTTGTAAGGCGTTATGTTAGTTCATCTCTCTATTAAACAATGGTAACAAACTTGCTGAAACATCCGTTGTTTCCTCAATTACCAAACTTTCAACATAAACTCTTATTTATTGTGCTTCTCTGCTGCAGAGGTTTTTCTCCCCTCAATCAGACTTACACCCAAAATGTGATGCTGCCATTATCACACTGTACACAGAATGTCTGATATTTTGTAATGGTTGCCGTCCTCCACTCATGCAGTCTAGTCTTTCCACTAAACCTTGTTTTTACTATATTATTTACATCAATCACAGTTTGCATTCAGCTGTTCTGTATGCAAATATTCTAGCTCTGCTGCTGCTGTGGTGTTTACTACCAATCAGCGGCATAAATGGCCAACTCACCAGGGAGTGAATTATTCATTGTTCCTTTTTTTTTTCCAAAACTTAAAACTACAAAACCATACACTCATGTATACAAAATAAATCTAAGTCATTTTATCATATATTCTAGTCCAGCTATTCTTTGTTATTCATTAACAAATGATTAGATGTCAAAATCCCAGATATTTGTGATGCTAAAAGATTAAGTCAAATCTTTTTCAATGTTTTCAGGTTTTCAACGTTTAACCTGTCTTTAAATTTTATTTTAAACAAAAAGTACTGAAATCTCATAATAAAATATTTATAAATGTATAAAAAAAACATGGTTCCATTAAGTGTGCTATGATCCAAGAAGAGCCTCTAAAGCTTATAGGAGGGACCGTAGATGAACATTTACTTGGAAGCTGATTCAGTATAACGCATATTTTCTTTTGAGATGAATGATTATATTCACGCTCCCTACTCAATGAGCTAAACCACAGAAAGACAAAAAGAATTTGCAATACATTAAATAAATTGAATATTTTCATGATTAAGAGGAAACGTATGGATGGACAGTAACAGTCCCAAAATTAAGCATCCCTGTAAAATGGATGAATAGAGAAGAACAGAGGCTGCCAAAAGGACCACAGCAACATTAAAGTAGAAGGCATGTCTGGATGTATGACTTATCAGGCAACAATCTGCCCATATTCTGGGCTATGTGGTAAAGAGCAAAACACAAGATCTTTGAAGAAAAATACCCAAGTACAATTGGATTTAGCAAAAAAATTTTGAAAAATATGAAACAAAACAGTTCTTCAGTTTTTTTCTTTGCTCTTTTGCTCCTCTATCTTCCAGCAAAACGATCACTTAAGGAACTGAATTCCAGGGGTGATTCAGTTTGAACTCTCCAAATAATATTGTGGCAGAAAGACCAAACTATGACAAACCATCTAAACTATGAAGCACAGGCTTGGTAGTATAATGTTATAGGCTTTTTCTGCTGCATTAAAGACTGGTGCACTTAAATCAAATACATGACATGTCTAACATGAAGTGGATCATTTAAATAGGACAGGAGAGAGACCCAACCTTGTTCTCCTAAAAATCAGCAGCAACATACGTATATAAAAAGAATGCGTTATTGGACACGTAAAGTAGCAAGTTATTTTTCTTCAGTGTCCTGCCTAGTTTCCATTTGTGTAGGCTGTTTGGCCACGTTTGACAGAGATACATACACACACACACATATATATACCGTATATATGTATATAAATACACACAGACTCAAAAATATAAACGCAACTTTTGGTTTTGCGCCCATTTCACAATTTTCCACAAGTATTGTTCACAAAGCAGTATAAATCAGTGAAAGTGAGCATGTAATTACTGCATAGGGTTGCACTGTAGACTGCCCACAATAAAAGGCCACCCTAAAGGGTACAAGTTTACCGCTAAGAATATTTAAATACACTGATCCATTTGTTTTCATCAACGAAACCATGAGAATTTGCTCAATATTCAGCGAGTTAAAAGTCGATTAAAATAGATTCCGTGCCCTCTCAACACATTAAACTGAGCGGAGCTGTTGACCGCCCCAAGATGGCGCCACCAAATCACATCAGCGCCCACAGGTGAAAGCGGTGGATGCAGGGTCTTATATGCATGTCTATGGGCTGGAGGGGGGGGGGAAGCCTAGTAAAAACTGTGGCTGACAAGGAGTTTAAAGATAGTTCACAATTATCTATATGCAAAGATATGTTTACACATGCAAACAACTGTGGTTGATGTGTTGCTGACTCAGATTTAGTATCGCTACAAAGTATTGAAAAAGTTTTCATATCTTTGTTGATACAATTAAAAAACTAACAAATGGAGATTTAATTCAAAAAGGCTGTTTAAGGTTTTAAGACCATATAGTCAAAAAATAAAGCCTGAGGAATATTTGGCAAATGTAAAAATGGCAAACTTGCTTAATTGCCAAAGGAAGGTCTTTCACATCAATGTACAGCTGTGGTCCCACTCCAAATCTACTACTTGGAAACCAACAATTTTGCATCAGGGTTGCTTTTCTTTTAAATGTAACATCTGTTAATGCAGAAGGAAAACCAAATATATGTCAAAATACCACACTGAACTCACTTCTTGTACATAAACACATTTTATTCAGCCTGATAGAGGATACACACAGAAAAAAAATCTAAGAGAAATACTTCCCTTTGTGAAGCTAATGATATGACCATTTTAATCAGCTTCAAATCCCCACTTGACAGCTTTCAACATTAGCTGCCGTAGGCTGCGAGGAAAAAGCATAATCACATGCTACAACTGACCTGAGGCGTGTTTTTCAATCTTTCTTCAAAAAAAAAAAACAATACAGAACACAAAACATACCCTCCCCCCCAACAGTTATGTTTAAACACTAAATGATAAGGAATGTTACTTTGGAAATGCAGATGAAAAGAAAACTTCTCTGCAAAAACAGAAAACAAGATAAGAGATGGAATTTTCAAAATAAAACCATTCCCGGGAACGCTGTTCCCAGGTTGCTACTATGTACGAGGCAATAACAAAAAGAACTTTGCAGCACATCAGCACTGTATCTCCTGGAATAACAAACTCACAGCTGTGATTCAGTCTCATCACCCTCAGACAAAAAAAATAAAATAAAAAATTGAACAGAAATTAGAACCGTGATAATCAAGGTTACAGATGGTATGTTAAGATTTACAGTGCCTACAGATCAGATATTAGGACTGAGTCAAAGACACAAAGCAAGGACTTGTGAAGAAAAAGAAGGGGAGGATCTTAACATTTAACTAGTGTTAGTCTTTTTTAACTTGCAAATTTCACAAAGTGCAGTTTTTTGTATTTACATTACATCATGACCAATTTCAGAAATTGTTCATTTTGTATTATATAACAATGAAAAAGGGTTAATTCCACAAAATACCAACAAAGATGTCACCAACAACCCTTCCCCACTCACTCACCTGTTATCCAAATTAAAAGTACAAAAAAAGTAAAAAAGAAAACAAAAACAAAAACAAACAAAAAAACATTAAATTCATGCTTTTATGACGCCCATCATTTGTTTGAAACTTGATCAAAGCCTCCATTGCGGCTCTTTTGAATCTCTTACAGTAAACTGCCTACTGTCAGCGTGCGTTTATAGTTAAAATATATATTAATCTATCATTAAATAGAATGCCTCTTGCACAGTCTTGCATGCACTGAAGAGCATTTGGGGCAAGCTGTACAAGAGAGAAAGGCGTGTGGACGGACAAGCCCAGGCTGTAGGCGCCACCAACTTTCTCCACCTGGTAAATGCTTTCAGCCCAACATTTCTTGCAGCCAAGTCAGTCCGAAATATGATTCCCCAGTGTGTTTTTTTTTTTCGTTTGAGCTTCTGTTTATGTTAGTGAATGAAAGTATCTGTGTGTGCTAAGTGTGGGCCTGGACTCAGTTTTCACAGTGCTGCTGATCTGCAGATCACTGAAGTTTTGTTCCCAGCTTTCGTTGTCTGTTCCTGAAAGTACAGAAAATAAATACATTTGAATTTGGCAGATGTAGTGTAGCAAGATTTCATGGGGACAGAATCTTACCTAGCCTCTGATCTGGTCACTGTATACTCAAACCATAAGATATTGGGAATCAAACTTGTGTCTCGAACCAGGAAGTACTCTGATATGGGCCTGTTGAACAAATTGGTACAATGAAAATCAGAAGACTTTACATTTCCAAAAGCTGGATGTCATGGGGAAGAGTTATTAACTCACCATGCAGCAATTTTGGGGAACAGAGGTGTCAACACCTCCTGTGTGAAAAAGAACCAGATGATGGCCATCGTACTGCCGGCCACAGCCCCATAGAAAACCTGACTCCAGGTGTGATACAACAGATAGACCCTGAAATAAGAGACATGGCAAAAGGAGTTCAATAAATAATCATAAAAATAAATAAATAGGTAAATTACATTATATCTCAACTTCTTTTCCAACAGCTAATTAATCCTTTCTGCTATATAAGAGGTTGTTTTTGGCTTTTGAAAAGTTGAAAACATCCTCCTAACTCAAGTGTTGAATGAATCAAGAAAATGTCTTTACAATTGGACGTCAAAACTGCTAGTATATCAAAACATATTAATTCCAAGTATGTCTCTATTAAGATCATAAATGTTTCATAAAACATGTTTTATGTGGGAGCACATGCCTTAGTATAACATTGATTCAGTATCAAAATATCTCTTTTCAGCTCTACACAACTCAACTAGTTTTAAGCAGATTTATAGAAATATAGTTACTCTGAAGTAAAAATAAAAAAACATTGAAAAAAGTTAAACATTGAAAAAAATAACCATTAAAAAATCATGACATAGAGGTACTTAAAAAAAAAAAAATCTAAAACTATTCCGCAATTTAAATCCTTTATCAATTTAAAGCCGTTATGCCTCTAAAAAATATTTCTCGAGCTAACCTATGAAGCATAAAAACAAGGGATCCATTTAGCTTTCTACCACATTGTCACTGAACAGCCCACACGGTTGCTCATTTTTGGCTGCACATGAACATCTGCCAAATCTGTCCTTGGGGAAATTATGAAATCTATGTCACAGTGACCGGTCTCAGCAGATCTAAAAGCTGAATAATATGCATCTAGGCTTCCATTTTTAAACTAATCAAAGCATCTGCTTTTAACTAACAATAATTAAAACAATAAATTGTGCACTTAAAAGCATCTATATTACAGTTGCATTTCAGAACACCTTTCTGATTTCAGGAAAAGATGGGATGACATGCTAACCTGCTGTATGAGACGGATGAGGCCAGGCCCAGCAGGATGATGGACAAGACGTGCCTCCACAGCAGATCCACACATCGAGCATTATTTGTCTGATGCATTCTGTAAATGATCAGCAGAGATCACACAGTGTTCCTCATGTAAAAAAGAACTGATTACAAAGACTTTATTGTGCTTCATATAATGGCATATATTCTTTAAAGTGTAAAAACTACAAAGAAAAAGAAATTGAAGTAAAAAAAAAAAAAAAAGTAACTGTGTTGACTATTGATTTTAGCAGGTTATTCTGCTCCTAAAAGTTTCATAACTCAACCTTTAACCTCCAGTAAAAATGCTGGGGGGAAAAACTCACCTTAAATAAAGAAAAAGAAAGAAGTAAACAACAAAGAACCAGATAAGCTGGGAATGGTTCGAAGGCATGCCGTACTCAGCATACACAGTTGTGTGGGAGCCTACAGAGAAAAAAAAAGAAAAACAAGCTCAATAATCTAACAATTGACATATGCATCACAAAGGTCCTTCAACATAGTGTGGCAGAAAATATATCCAATTTGGATTTTAAGTTTTGTGCTATAGACCATAAAACAAAATACTAGGTTTAAAAGTTTGTATTTGTTTGTAACAATAGACATAAGCAAACATCGTACTTGTAACATGTAAATAAGATTGTAGCAAATCACAATTAAAACAGTTAATATGATTCAAAACTTCTAAAAAAATTTTGGGGGTTCTTTATAAGACCCCCAAAAAACAAAAAAATTGTATTTTGTTTTTTTTTTGTTTAGGCTTTGAGGCAGGAATGCCCCAACACCAACTAAAGAGAAGAGTAGTGTGAAAACTTGTATAAAAGTTAGACAGGGACGGATTCTTTCGCAGATTATATGAAAAGTTGTATTTTTAGTTTTCAGCAGTGGAACTTGAAAAGGGAACTGGCTGGGGATTAAGAGTAAAAGGACGCCATCAGAAAACTTTAGATGGCATTCTAATCAAATGAGGTACTGAAAAAGTAAATATATTAGAGCTAAACCTTAAACAAGTAAACCAGATCCTGTTAAGAGTTCTAGTTTTATGCTGTCTAGCAAAAAAACAAACAAACATGCTCAAGTTAATTTCCTTTGAAAACTGTCATATTTTGTCACACTACAGCCACCAGCTGATAAAATATGTTCATATGGAGAGGAAATCCTATATGCTTTTCAAAACCCATTTTAAATCTGAAACAAATGTGACAACCTACTTTACACCGATGTTCCATAATAATAGTTTTGCATCCAACTAACTTCAGACATAAACCAATCAGTTAAAAGAGCACACTTTTAAAATGTAAGTACAACATTCTATGAAGAGGTTTGCTGCAGAATGGCATCACAGTGGCATCATCAGGCTGATTAGATTGGATGGGAAGAAGCAAGAAGCTAAATACAGGACGATCCTGTTAGACATGTTAAGAACCTGGGGCAGAGGTTTTCCTTTTTGCAGGACAGTAACTGTAAACACAAAGTTACAATAGCCAGATATAGATCAAGGTGGTGTGTTAGAATGTCCCAGTCAAAGTCCACACCGAAACCCAACAGATAATCAATGTAAAATCATGAAGAGTGATGTTTCCAGGCACAATTCCCATCCAAACTGTGCTACTTTTTTTTCTTTTTAAATAACACAAAAACTGGTTTTATATTACACTTTTAAGGTAGGATTTTGTAAGAATTTGTCTTCTTTCACTTCAGATATTCACCATCGCTATAGTTTTTGACTAGAAAAACTACAAAAAAAGCCCAAGACATAAATCCTTATCCAAGGCACAGTATAAGAATGCCATATTCTAATAGTATCAATACAATAACTCAAGATTCAGTGTCATGTTTGAATTCATTGTTAATTGAACACATTCCAAACAATTACATCCGACTTGCATGTCTGACATAATATTTTCCCCGGTCTTGCAAAATAATTAAACCAAAGAACTTGTTCTCTCACCTGCACAAGGGCGCGGCTCTCTAAGAATGTGCTTGAGCAGCCAGTTCACTCCTTCATTTAGGAGCACTCCAGTGAAGAATGAGATCTAGAAAAGGAGACAAAAAAAAGAAAATTATATGAATGTTCACAGATGCTTCTTAAAATATCTGCTCAGATATCAAAGAGGACTTTCTCATGAACACTACTCACTGTGTGCAGTTCCCGTTTAAACACTATGAGTGTGACAAAGCCCACAAGAATAGCTACGGGAAGGAGACTAATGTAGGCCAGCAGTTTTCCCGTGAGATCCCCTGAAACATAAAAAGAACTGATGTTGAAGACAATTAAAAACAATCCTAACCTCCATCAGCAGAACCAGAAACTGGATGGCAAACAAAGACACAGAGCAAATAAAAAAAAAAAAAAAAAACTCATATAAACGTTGGCTGTTGAACAAGCCAGCACAGCAAATATTACAAGTTGATAATTCAGGTGAAGTGTGGCTGTTGGAGCTTTTAACACAAGGCCATTGAGCTTTATACGTTAGCACCAGTCTTGGTAATAATCTTATACATGGGAATAAGTTCATAGCAAAACTCTACGTTATGCGCTAAAATAATAAGCATTGCAGTACTGTCACATGTTTATAACAAGACATTTGTCATATATATATATTATTTTATGAGGGGGACTGCAAAGCTCATGTAGAAACAGCTAGCTAGCAGGCTAGCCGTCATTGTGAACGCTGTTACAAACTGCGCATGCGGAACTGTCTCACAATTTGGCAGCCCACTGCGTGCTATGTGTTGCTCAATGGCTCACTATTTGGCAGCCACTAACGGCTGTGTCCATTCAGTACCAATCATACCCGTTCACAGTGCTTTGGATATTTTCAACCGCGACGAACGGTTAACAGCGTTACAGTCGGTACGCAAACATTACAGAGTTTTACATACCCTCGGGAAACTCTACGTGTGTCACTGATATGGCCTGCCATCGAGGTGGTGCCGAGCACTGCTCTTCCAACGCCATCTTACCCGGACACAACCGGGGCAGCTCGGTGCCACGCCCCCAAAACGATTCCAGCCACTGAGGGATCGTGTTGTTTATTCAAAGAGACCCCGGCAGCAGAGGAGCCGTCCAATCAGAGCCGCGCTCTCTTTAAGAGAGATTCTGTCCATAGAGGAGAATTATTGAATGAAAAAAAGTGATAAAAAAAATATATAAAACTATAACAAACATATAAATAAATAAGAATCCACTTATAATCTAAGCAACTAGATGCCCTCAATCATTGTAATATAAATAATTTTAGGACATATTTTTTGAAGGTAGAAATATTGTTTTTTGTTCCACTAGTGAAAAAAACAAAGGTGGGTCAGTTGCAAAGCAAGTAAGCAAATAATATTAAAAGAACAGAATTCTTACTCTTACAGCTAAGTTAAACTGCATAACATAAAAGAAAAATGATCTCAGAAAAGAGAAAAACACAATGCACTACCTAAAAAAACAAGTTATACTGCAAAAAAAACTACTGATGCAAAAACAAACATCACCTTATCTCTCAAATATCCTAACAAAATCAGAATACCTTCCCTAAAAATAATAAAATATGATTGTCTTAAAGGGGATAAACATCACCTGGAAGGAAAATGGCTATCCACTCCAAAGCCTGAAAATATCAAGTTAGTTTCAGTCACACTGAGCTTTTATTTGATTTTTTTTTTTTTTTTTTTTTTTTTTTTTTACATTTGAGGCTCAAGCATAAAGAACACAATAGAGCACAAATCAACAGATGGATACAAAAAGGAAATAAGAAACAGAAAGAGATAAGAATGCTGCACTGATACAGAGAGCATGTGATTCTGATACTAACATACAGAGGCGTTCAGAAAAAATGCAGCCTGATAAAAAAATCCCTACAAAATCTTCACACTTTATGGGAGGGAAAATTAATAATCTTAATAACTGATAAAAGAAAGGGAAAGTTTTCTGAAATCTTATATTTATAGCTACTTAAAGCAATAAGAGCAAACAGAAATAAAATGCCAGTAAATGTCAAAAAGTTAAGCAGAAACCAGAGAGAATGATACGTTTTCGATACATATGTTCCAGAGTCTCTGTTTCCAAGCAAGCTGATAAAAGTCGTCTACTTTTCAAGGACTCAAAAAAACATTTTAGTAAACCAATATGAGTTGTCAAGTTGCTTTTCTGTTTCTTTTTCCCATTTTAAAGGTGATTCAGTACAAACCAGGGTTGCTGGTCTGAATCCAAACTCATCCGTCACAGTTGTGTCCTTGGGCAAAGAACTTCACCCTCATTACCTATTAAGTTAATTATGAAAGACTTGTTTGGGATAGTTAAGAGATTTTGACAAAAGGTCTTTTTATAATTGTAATCTTTGCCTTTCAGAAACTTATCTTGAATTTTTTTATTGCAAACAAACAAATCTTTAATTTTTCTCTTCCTATACTAGTTTAACATACTGTTAAGAAAAACCTAGTAAAGAATGGTAACCTGTTTCAACATATTTACAGCATTTACATCACAGTCATCTAATAAAAAGATGGTCTTTTTAATAAAATCCTTAAGAAAAAGTATTAAGAGCTCAGAATTTACTCTAAAACGTCTATAAGGGGGAACATGTAAATACAAGTTTGGGCTCAAATGTGAAATCATTCAAAATGATGCTAAAACTAGCATCTGAATCAAAGCTGCTCAACATTAAGCTTCAGAATTCGATTGTGAAAGCTGATTATTAAGGGACAAACAGAGTAAATATACATTCACACAACCCAGACAATTTAGCTAAAATCTTCTGGGCACTGATCACCATCCAAATGTATTAAAACATTAAACTTTAATCCCACAATTCTTCCTAAATGCAAAGGCCAGTCAGTAAGTGTTGAATTCAGGTTGAACAGAAGTACAGCCAAACCGTTAAAAAAAAGACTAAATAAAATGAAGACAGCTTTAATAACAAAAAATAAGATTTATTATGGAGGATGTAAATCATTTGACAAAGTGCATTATTAAAATATAAAGGGGGGAAAAAAGACATGAGTAGGACACTTGTAATGTGGCTGACAGTATTACAGCAGAAAAAGATAATCAACATTTGTGGCCTTTTTGAAAACCTTTAATCATCTAAATATCACTGCAATTTAGGTCCATGCTTAAATTGTACTAATTCATACAGGTTGTTTTTTTAAGACCATATCTAATTATAACTTTTAATTATAAAGGATCAAAATCAGGTTGAGTCTAGGAAGAACAAAAAAACTTTACAATGCATACAGGACAGAAACAATCTGATGTCAGATCAATTCACACACACTAAGAAAGTAAAAGAAGTTCTAGAGATGGACACTTAAACAAAACCCTGTGATTGAACAAACTATTCTCATAATAAAGTTTTCTTTACAACAGTTTTTAGATTTTACAGCAGTTATATGTTCAGTTTTATACATGCAACAGTCACATGTTGCAATAAATAATCTGACAATTTGTATATGTGTACTCTGACACAGATTATTAAAATAAAATTTGCTAAAGTGCAAATCAGAAACACAAAGCTGCAGACCAAATCATGTCCCGTAGAACTGCCCTGCCTATTCACAGCTTTGGCTCAATCATCCAATAAATCCAACAATACAGACCGTCGAGTCATTTTCACAAACATTTATTAATATGTATTAATGTAAAAAAAGATGCTGATCTGATCTGATACAAATAAGAAATTTAAAGAACCAAGTGAATATCTGAACTAAAATTAAAATGTCTTTATAATGGGAATGCTTTCCATAGGATTACACAAGACAGGTACATTTAGTTTGGCATCTTTTTGCCCCGTCAGGGGTTCTGCAACCCAAAAAACATCTTACAGAGAAAAACTAAAGGTTTTTATCAGTGCACTTAGGTAATGTAAAGTTCTGTACCTCGCCGCAAGCCGCCATGACACCAGGATCATTCATAAAACTATTAGTTGGAGCTGTTTCAGTTTAAATTTGGGGGAAGTCAAAGAGATTTCTTTAGCTAGTTTTGAATTTCTAAGGAGATTTATATGATAAATGGGATTATATGAGCTATCATAAAAAAAGAACACTAGTAAGTCAGTCTATGCAATCCCTGGGCATCCAGATTAATTGACTGGGATTATACTTCAAATAATCCATGCAAACACTCTCTATACTGGTCCGGTTGATTACTGCAACCAATAATGTAGCTAATAAAGAGAATAAACTGAGATCCTTCATGTTTAGCTCATCAAATTTAGAATTGAAAAAGCATACTTGGCAATACTTGGTGGTATTATTTATCATTTTGACACTTCTTTTATCTCCATATATTTACGATTTCATTCAGCAGTAAAAAAAAAAAAAAATATCACACAAAAAAAAAAAATTTAAGATGCACAAAAAAGATTTAGATACCAAAATGAGCACTTGACGATAATAACCAGCATGGAGTTCCGCTGCAGGATCTCACACAGAGCAACGTTTCTTTAAAGCAGACTAAAGAAAACTGCCAACTCTGGTTTCTGTTTGTCTTTAAAACTGAGCTGATGCTCTGGGTATGGTAAGGAAAGCCAACAACTTTGACATATTTCATTACATATTAAAGTTGCATTTCAACTTTGTGAAACTTGGCTAATGTCAACTCTGCTGAACTCAAAGCAAGGTTGATAGTGTCACGAATGAAGGAGCTAAAGCAGAGTGACTATGATCATCACACATAGCTGAGACATGAACACTTACTTTCATTTAAGAACATGAAAGTATATACCTGTATTTTTCTGAAATGTTGACAGTCTCCTGCCAAAAATGGCTTAAACCTTTTTGTTTGTTTTTTTGCTGAGGATGTAAATGATCTAAGCAAACACATCTGAACAGGAAATTTAACTAAACCAAATGGAAAGAAACAAATAGCGAAGCCCAAAATAACTCTGATTAGGTGCCTTGTGTGATATCACCCGTCATCACTACAAAGTATCTCATTTTAAAGAGGGAAGGTTTTATCTTAATTAGAAACGACAAAAACAAAACAAAAAGTACAGCTACAGTATAGAAATAAAAATATGAAGTGAGTCTTATTAGTTTAACAGAAGGCTCACTAGCAACTTAAAACTCAACAGATTATGCAAGTAAGGGTCAAATATTAGTCATTTAATTCAATAAGATATTTATTGCAACAATGTGGCATGATTTGTCCTAACAGTTTCAGAAACCCTCTCCCTTTGATTTGGATCTTTTGTCCTGTGTTTTTCCTCTATCTTATCAATTTCTAACAGAATAATTGCAATCTAGAGAAACAAAAATATTTGACCCCAAATACCAGTTTTACATGATCTGTTAATGTGTTTAAACTCAAGTTTCATGCCTCCATGTTATCCTGGAAGATGGAAAACCTGGACGCCTGGAAGTAAGGAGAATTTAGGGCCATTTAACTGATTTTAGGAGCTGTAAGCAGCAAAGACACAACTAAAAAGTTACATTTAACTTTTTCACATGAAAGACAAAAAGCACTTCATCGCTTTACACATCATAGTAAATATTTCATCCAAATCCACAGATGAAAATCTGTTCGTCTGGCTAACTAAAAAGGCAAAGTCCTGTTGTGTTGGAAGTGTTTGTCAGCTGTTGTTTTACCAAGTATCTAACCCCCCCAGGAAGAGGCAGAAACAAGTCCTCACACGTCTGTGATAATTTGATTAGAGTCATCATTGTGGATACGCAGCAAAGCAGCAACAAAGGGGACAAGGGGAATTCGGGATTCAAATGGTCTCCCTCATTAGCAGGAATAAGGAGATCTGGTAAAATAAATCCCATGATACCTTGTTGTGATTAAGAGCACAGATGGAGAAAAGGATGGACAAATGGCTGGATAATGCTGGTTCTCAGTGGATCACAGAAGAAGGGTTCGGAGCCTCAGAAATTCTTCAATAAAGCCCTTCATGATAGTTTGGTGGCTCCGTAGGAGCCCTCAGAGTCTCTAGGCATGGCACCATTCAGCTCCAATAGACTGTTGATCCCCAGATATCCCAGCAGGATCTCACTTCTGCGGTGAGAAAGCTTCAGGATGTCCTCAGCCAAACTCTGATCAGAAGTGAAGCGGACCTTATCGTGGTCAAACATATCCTTAAGGTATTGCACTATTTGTTGCTGCAGATGGAGAGAAGGAAAATTACATGAAGGCTTTATAACATGAGTAAAAAAAAACAACCTTCCAATAATATCCTATAGCTTGGAATGAGATGCAAGAGGGAACTTATAGATTCAATCCCTGGATCACATGCTTCATTCATGGTAGAAACATTTTTAAGTCTTACTTTAGATTTTTTAGGCTTTCACTGAAATCAAACTGAAATGTTGTGAAGCAGTTAATCTGAGAAGCATTTAGCTTAGAGGATTTCATGACATCTAGTGGTAGAAATGGCAAACTGCAACCTCACTGCCTCAGTCACTCTACTTGTTTTTAAGTAGAAGTTCTTCTATGGAATTAGTAAACAGATAATATCTTACCTTTAGTAACGAAACCTCCTAGAATATACATTTAAAATAACCCCAAGAACATTTAAACTGGATTTATGTTTAGTGAAGCTAGCCTGCAACTGCCATGATTGTGAAGTAGGCAAATGGCCTTCACAAAAGGAGACAATTTGCATTGGGTAAAACAAAGTGACATTTTAGACTATTCAACAGAAACTGATACAAACTGCCTCCAATCGGGATCTATGAACAAATATCCACAGGAATTGGATAGTTTTAGGGAATGTTGACTGAAGATCAATCAACACAGCATTTTGATCTTACAGCTTTTTGTACCTAATCCATTCAAGAAATATTGGTACAACAATGTTTTTAGTTTTTTTGGTCATTTTACTGGTAAACAGGCCCCAACTTAATTGATGCTTAAATATAATCAGTTTTTCTGTCTTAGAAAAACATAGCTGGAACTGTTTAACCCCTAGAACCCGACGGACCCACCGGTGAGTCCAGCTGCCACGTGACCTCGTAATTTTAACAAACCCCCAGTATTGATGTAAAAAAACACATTTGGCACAGTTTGGTGACATTTTTGGATAAATGTGCCAAAATGGCCTCTCCGCCTAAGAAATTTCTCACTAATACCATTCTAAAATAAATATGATTCATCTGATTGAGTCCAATTTTGGTATATTTTTACACAACATTTAGATTTAAAAGTCTGTACTACTTTTTTGTGCTATAAATAATATTTTGGTAGTGTTTTGCAATGTTTATTTCAAAGAAAATGTTGGCGAGGTTCAAAAAATGCAAAATATTTTGTATTTTGTCCCTAATATTTCAGGCAGGGTCAAAGCTACAATGGTGCTGACACCAGAAAACCATTCTATGACATCTTACCTTTACAGACGTACCAAAAGTTTCTTCTTAAATCTAATAGCTGTGAGGCTATAAGTGATTTACGTTTGTGTGTTTTTGTCAGGCAGAAATTTATTTATACCCCCTGAGGGTGTAAGAGGTTAAAGGTTGCACGGCACTTAAGAGAAAAAAAGGAAATTACACATCCCTGGAAAAAGAAAATTATTTCGGTAAAAATGAAAGGGTTTAAGAAGGTTAGTGTTTTATCAGTGCTAAGTTTGATGCTCTACAGCAGATATTTTGAGAATAGCTCTATGCACTTACCACTAGGCCACAACTCCCCATAATCAGGGGAGTTATTATGAGTGATTAAAATTCTCTTCTAAAGAGACAATCATCAAGCTTTATTTATATTCAATTTCCATGATTGCTTTTTTTGTTTTGATATATAGACATTACTGTATCTAATTAACTCATATGAACTTATTACTAGTGATGAGTTCATGAAGCTTTTTGACACATTGGCAAACTCCACTGATACTGTCTCACTGAATACTGACACCTGCTGGATATTTAAAATCACTACAGGCAGCCTCTTTGACAGACTAAACTGACACTGATGTGATGACCTATAATTTGATTTTAGCCATTGTTTAATGTATTATTCCATATCTTTGTTTAAATCGAAAATATGTTTGACATTTTTAGATGCAATCCATAAATGTGAACATATAACAGGAACACTGAAGTGAACACATGAATAAGGATGTTTATGGACTACAATTTATACATCAGCAAACTAAGAGTCAATTTGAGATCAGTTTGAGTTCAGGCAAGTTGAGTGATGACAAAACAAACAAGATTATTAAAACCAAATGTGCCTTGAGGCTGCTCCATATTTTTTTTAATCAATTTGATGTTAAATCAAAAAAGATCAAGAGATTTTTTGGCAGATATGTTGACAGATGCACTTATACACACTGTTTAATGCATCAGTCAGTTCAAAACATCTCCTTATTGGTCACATGACTCTCTGGAAACGATACGCGCACCGAAAGGGTTTTCCTGTCAGAGCTCGACACATGCGTCAATGCTTCTGTGTTGCTGGACCCATCACTACTTATTATATATTTTCTCTCCCTGTACATTTTTGAAGTCCTTAAACTTTTTTTTTTTGTTTTGTTATTAGACATTTTAGTCAATTATTAGTGCTGTTTTGTTTTAGAAATGTTTTCATAATTTAAAATATATATAGGCAAGAATTCTAAAAACAAGGGATTCCACATTGGCACAGATGAAAATAAATTCAAAAGAGAGGTTTATAAAAATAGAAAAAAAATAAATGATAATAATCATAATAAAAATAATAATATAGCCTAAAACCTGTAGATAAGTAGAAATCAGAAAAATTCTTAAAGAGTTATGATGATAGGTGAGATTTTTTTGCGCAACAGGTATGTGTATTTAAAATTAGTAACTGGGAGGATGTTATTCCTGCTCTGAAACTCATGCATAAAGAAAGAAACTTTTACAGTTTAGTTATTAACTTATTGAAAGCTTTAAACAGAGCAAAAAACCTGAATAGTTCAGTAAGTCTGAATTGTTTTTAAACAGCAAGTGTGTCCTAAATAATTAAGAAAAAGATTATTGTGGGGGAAAATAGAACAATCTTTTTTGTTTAAAAGAATTTTCCAACGAATAAACCAGCATTTAATTCGGAAACATACTTTTCTAAATGTGATACACTTTTTATATATTAGTTTTTGCATGCTGTTGCCTCACCTTGAAAATTGTGCAAACTTCACTCAGATGCTGCCTTGGTCCCAAAAACCCAAAAGCTAAAACCGGGCTCACGTGTTCTGATATGGCATAAAAGTGGGCAATAAATCCATCAGGTACCTATGAAAGGGAGTTAGGACAAGGATTCAGAATATATAACAAAAATCTATAATAATTTTTAAAAAAGCAGTAAAAAGCTTAGTCTGATTGGCTTACCATGAGAAGACGCCTTTTAGCTTTCAACACCGACCAACAAGCGGTCGCCAGAGCCTGCCAGGAAAAGAGACGTGTTTTTTAGAGACAATCTCAAAACACTCAAAGTGGCAGTAAGGGGAACTTCAGATGTGTGTGTGGGAACTAACGGTCTCTTTAAAACTGTCAGACAGCCAGCGGTTCCTTAGAACAGCTAACACAGAGGAGGGGGGGCTCTCAAGGTCCTCGAATGCATCCATCAGGATGAAGTCCAGAACAACATCAAAGAAGTTCATACACACCACCTGCAGCAACCGCAGAAAGATTCCATTTATGTTTCATTCAAACATACTTCACCTGTGAGCTTATGCAGCACTATTAACGCATTTCACGAGACGTGAAAACTCACCCCTCGACCCTCCAGCTCCATTTTCGTAATGGGCCACGTTTCCTCTCTCTGGGTGTAGAGCAGCATGTCTTCATAGCTTTCTAGAAAGCCTTTGGGACTCTAATTTACATTAAGAAAGAAAGATTTTCATCTTTAAAAAAAAAAAAAGAAATGAAGCAAAGAGTTAAATGAAGTTAATTTAATCACTTATACCTTACTGGCCTTAACCATTAGCCCAGCAACCATCTGTTTCCCTGTCTCCATAAAAAATGTGCGGTGAGTTTCATCCAATAATAACACCTGGAAAAATAAAATAAAATATGACAGCAATCAATTCACACTGAAATGGCAGAAAATATCTATACATTCATTCATTTAAGGTGTCAGTTTTCCAATTCAAATATAATGCGTACTGCCACTAATGTTTCTAAAAGAGTCTTTGTCACAGAGTTAAAGCTGCTAACTAAAATTTTCCGAGCACTTGATATTTTTATTAGTTTATCATGTTACAACCACAAACCTCAAAAAACCTCCTAAAAATGACAAGAGCAAAATGGAGCATTCATGCTTTGCACTTATGGCTACTGCCCTCATCCAGGTGTAAAATGAAACTTTTCCCTAGCCTGAAGTCTACATAGAACTTATCTGTGTTAACCTAGATGCTCTCCGAGTCCACAACTCAGCTGATCACCATAGCATGATGCTTGTAGGACAAAAGGTCTCCCTGTGTTCCTTTGCTTTATGCTGCTGCTTGATCATGAGTGGCACAACTGGCTAAACCTCGATTATTTAGGGATGTCAGAGTAGAGGGGGTAAAACAAATATGGTAACCACACTCTTCAGATATTTGGTACAAATAGTGCTGGAAAAAATTGATATATTTTCCTTTTACTTCACAATGCACTTTTTCTATAAAATCCAAACAAAAGCTGTTAAATTCTGTGATCATGATGTGAAAAAGTCACAGAAAAAAAAAAGCCTTGTGCTAAATTCAGATGAATGGAAATCATGTTGGGAGTCAAATTCAGGTAAATGTTGTATAGCTGACAGACCTACTCCAACTACTACTTTGTTGAGGTAATCTCAAATTTTAACAGCATTCAATATTCCATCCATCCATTTTCTTCCGCTTATCCGGTGTCGGGTTGCGGGGGTAGCAGCTTCAGTAGGGAGGCACAGACGTCCCTCTCCCCAGCCACTTGGGCCAGCTTCCCACAGGGGAGTCCCAAGGTGTTCCCAGGCCAGCCGAGAAACATAGTCCCTCCAGCGTGTCCTGGGTCTGCCTCTTGGTCTCCCCTTGATGGGACGTGTCTGGAACATCTCACTAGGGAGGTATGCAGGAGGCATCCTAACCAGATGCCAGAGTCATCTCAACTGGCTCCTCTCGATGTGGAGGAGCAGCGGCTCTACTCTGGGTCCTCCCCAGATGACTGAGCTCCTCACCCTATCTCTAAGGGAGAGCCCAGACACACTACGGAGAAAACTCATTTTAGCTGCTTGTATCAGAGATTTCAATTATTTCGGTCATGATCAAAAGCTCATGACTACAGAGGAGGGTAGGACAGTAGATCGAGAGGTAATTCGAGAGCTTTGCTTTTTGGTTTAGCTCTCTTGACCACAACAGACCGGTAAAGTGCACGCTTCACAGCAAACGATGCACCAATCTGCCTGTCGATCTCCCGCTCCATCTTTCCCTCATTCGTGAAAAAGACTCCAAGATACGTAAACTCCTTCACTGGAGGCAGTACATCCTCCCCAACCCGGAGAAGGCACTCTACCCTTTTCCTGCTAAAGACCATGGTCTTGGACTTAGAGGCCCTGATCCTGATCCCGGCTGCTTCATACTCGGCTGCGAACCGCATTCGATATCAATTAATGATTTTATCAAGTTGACTGATTCTCAAAACTTAATCTTTCCCTTTTATATTTTTTTGAAAAATGTTGAATTAAAATAGCACATTATATTAGAACAATTAAGTGTGCCAGCTGTATTACACATTATTAAACATATCTATAAGAAATCAATCTGGAACCGATAAGGTTACTGAAAAAAAAGGTGAGCAAAATATGTGAAACACATAGTTTCCAATAGAGAGAGAATAAAAACAGACCTGGAATGCTTGTCTCACACAGTGAAGCTTGGCCAGGAAATCCTGGTCACTGTAGCATTCAAGTAATTCAGTCCTGGTGAAAAACAAAGCATGTGAATGTTAAAGCCTCAAATACTAATCGTTAAAAACATTTGCAAGACAACCAATACATGATATTTGATGCACAACAGTAACCCCAAAAAAAACACAATTAAAAATGTTCTCTTATGTGATCTGTGATCTTTTTAAAGAAATTGTGGCGCCCTTCTATTAGTTGGATGGCAGTGATTCTCTGTAGAGTTTACCACAACATTGCTAAACAAATAACTAAAAAATATTCTTGATTTTTACATGATTTATTCAAAAAAAAAAAAAAAAGAAAAAATAAGGGGACCCATGAAAATACACATATGATCCATATGATCTCCCTAGTTACCTCAAGGTCCTATATTTCACCCTGTCTTCCTGCACCAGAGACAAGGCTTCCTCATACAGAGCTGCTGGCTTCATCGGTTGGTAGATATCCTCTAGAGTCATGCTTTCAAACAGCTGCACAGGAAAACACAACGATAGAGTTAAATGTTTTGGCAAGCTACAGGGAAGAGGAACATGTAGGCATTTCTTAATGAGGATACACAATGCATGTAGAAAAAAAGTAAAATAACTTTTTTAAAGCAATACCGTAATAATAATACATATTTTTGCCAATTTGCCTTCTACAGATTGTTGGTTTTCTTAAAATAAAACATAAGCAGATCTTGGTGTATTTATGCAATTTAATTGATAAAGATCAGGCAAGGTGACAGACTGATGACTTTCACTCATGGGGGCGAGCTCACCTCTGCAGCCGAGAAAAAGGAGTCATCAGACGTAACTGTAGTCGCATCTTCATCTTGCAGCGGGTGGAATCTCTCTATCTGAGGCAATATTAGAGTCCCTTCGCTCTCTGAAGAGACAAAGAAAACAAACTATATGATAGAGAATGAAACCAGCAGTTATGTTTTCAGTTCCTGATCTTTATAGAACATCTGAAAACACTTATGTCTCTGGCAGTTTCTAAAAATACATCCCAAAGTTGATCCTTACCGAAGTCTGCAAGCACGCTGTCAGCTGGGATGCTGCTGCCGAAATCCTCCTGTAAGTGGTACGCCCTGTGCAAGAGAGTCTCCAACTTCTCAGCAAACACTTTATTACGGGACTCATTCTAGAAGCAAATGGGAAAAAAGCTTTTTTGAGTATTATTGGAAACTCATGCCATACATCTAGATGCATTCAGTTTTATACAACATGGATTTGGGTATAAATCTGACAGCGCTTCACTCAACAATGCAAAATAGAAATACAAGAATCCACAGATACAACTAATTTAAAAAAGTCAGAAGAAGTACCGTGGGTTCATCTCTGAACGCTGCCCCCTGCAAAGCAAGGCTGTTGTTACTAGAAGTCGAATCCCCGTGATGACGAATACTTAGGGCTTGTTCCCATTTTCGTAGAGCTTCATCAAACAGCTCCATCCCTAGAAACAAATGATGAAACCGTTTTACCATGAAGCATGTGGTAAAGGAAGGGGTTCCTTTATAAAATTAACATCATCATTAAACTATGTATTTATTAGTCAGTATCTCTGTAAAATAGACCAGCATGTAAACCTTCCATGAACTGCAAAGTTCGGAAAAGAAAATTACAATCATAAAGTGCTTAATAAAAGGTACAAATTGTGTTGGGGAGGGCTTTTGTTGGTCTTATTGTATAACTTGGAAAGTTAACTTTGCTCTCTTCCAATAATATTCGAGATAAGGTGGTAATCAAAAGCTTAGGGTGGAGCTGTGCTGCAGATAAAAGATGAATGAATCATTCTGATATCTCCTTTGATAATTTGTTTGGATTTGCCCATCATTTGCATCTTGTTAGAGTAAAACCTCTACATGCATTAAATTCCGCTCTAGCATTTAAATCTGTTCAGTTTCCTTTTGCATATGTGCTTTATTCTTTTAACAGAATAAGTTTCTGCAGATTGTTTTGCAAAGAATAGAGTTAGCCTGATTTGAGTATTTATCCAGTCATCAAAACGCACCCATTAAATACAGGTTCTCTGCATTTGCATCCTCCACTGCTCCAGATTCTTCCACCACACGCTCTGCCTCCAATGGGGTGGAGGGATTAGCAGACTGATTAGGAGAGTTTGGAACTCTTGTCTGTGTCAAGAAAGAACACACAGAGATAGAACATGAAATACCCAAGTGAACAGAGGATTAAAAAAAAAAAGAAAAAGGAAAAAAAAAAAAAACAACTATAGAAAAATGTTGACGTATGAAACTAACAGATGCCAAGCTGTGTGACGAACTGGAGTGTTTACTGGGAGCCAGGGAGGAAATTCCACTCATAGTGTCATTGCTCCGAGAGCTGGGGCTCATCACCTGCCGGCTGGTAATCGGACCTGTCGCAAACAGGATGTAAGAGACCTTGAAAGACATCTCCAACAACAAGTAAAAAATGTGGAAACTTTAAAAAAAATAATGGTTCCACTAACCTCTCTTTAAAGATGAAGGTCTTCCGGTTTTCAGCAGAGCATCGGGTATTCCCACGGTCTTCTGGCCCTCCTTTGCTTGGACTGCCTGTTTCCTTTTCCTGCCTCTTCTTTTCAGCTGGTGAGCAGTCAGAGCCAGAGCCACGCTTCCCAGAGCTGTGGCAAACAGCACCTTCTTCAGGCTCGGGGAGAGCTTTAGCTGAGAAAATATAGACTGAAAAAAGATGTCACTTAGTTTCAATTGAAATGCATTGCATGGATACATTGATAACTTTGATCTCTATAAATTGAATTAAAAGCCAATCGCCTTCAGCAAGAAAATCTGACTTTTCTCAGCATCAATAAAGATCTATGCTAAAGGTCTGCACGCTAAAGAAGTTAAAGAGATTTGATTAACAAGCAGCATCATTATAGAAACAAGGAACACAGTTATATAATAAAACCTCTAAGTCAACTTTAAACGTCTATCATGGCACCGCTCAATTACTCAAAATGGAAAGAGGATCATCTGTGCAATGCAGCAACAGGGGAAGCACTCCAAAATATGAACAAAGTACAAGAGGTTTAAGAACTTTTCCAATGACTTTTACCTGTCCAAATGTTGAATAAAGAAAGACTGGTATCTCTGCTACAGTCATGGCCAAAGCCTGGGCGAGAGACATCCCCTCTGGTCGTTTCAGCGACATGTCAACACTTCCTTACATTCACCCAAAATTAGGATTTTCTTTCTGCCCTCAGACGAGCCAACACTCAGCTCACCGATGAACTTTCTGCCGTCATCCACACCTGTACCAATGAGAGACACTTCTTAACATTAGATTGATAGATTGATAGAAATGCTTCACTCAAGGGCATGACAGGATTACTTAAATTCTTTGATATTTGATCAAAATAGTGCTCATAAAATCTAACAGGCATGGGCAGATGCCAACCAACTTGATTTGGTTGATCTAACTTTTGTAAAAGAGAAATTGTCACGTGTATTGTGTCAATAAAGGTTTTAGCTTATTGATTATTGTGATTTTTATGGAGTTACAAACATGCAACCTTTACTTGAATATCTTTATGTTTTCGTTTGTGGCAAACAGCAAAAATACTGTTTAATCACAGGAAATCCAGCTTGGATCAATTATTAGATCAACTTTAGATTGAAAACTGCGATATTCCACAGTTATTAATCAGGAGCTAGTTGTAAGCTAATGGATTTTAGGCTTATTTTAAAAACTGATCATTTTAACCGAACGGCAAACAGTTTTCAAATTAAAAAGCGTTACTTCAATTAAAGAGTTAAATAATTTTAGTCCAGAAAGTAATACTGTAAATCTCCAAGGAATTTGTACATGAATTACAGTATAAAATCTTATCATGAAGCCATGCTAAAAATCAAACATCAACTGTCAAGCGTGCTAACGATAGCTAGCTCATATAGCTGGCCTTGGGCATCGTCAGATCCCCACAGAGCATCAGCGGATGTCAGTCTGTGGAGCACTGAAATGATACGTCACAGGCTCCGGTTGAAGCTTTAAGTACAGTAGCGCTAACACCTAATAAGATAATCCCTCACGACACCAACATACCATGAGTATTCAAGACGTGAGAGAAGGGCATCCCTGTGTCACCGCAGGAGAAAGCAGCAGCATTTAGTATAGGGTGGAACTTAAGGTAGTTGACAAGCTAATTGACCAATAGAAAGAGAAAACACGTGTGACGTTTTTCCTCAACCAATAGAATGGGAACTTTGGGGAAAAGGGGCGGATCTAGTGTAACAATATCCAATCAACTGACAGGTGCCAGATGTACGTAGATGTCCACCCCGATACAAGCAAGGCGGAAAATTATCGTTCGATATCCACAAGTGTTTTTATTCTGTTTATAAAATTACAACTAATTTATTTGTAGCTATAATTTTATCAATATCTACATATATATAAGGGTTTCACGTGTTTATTTACTCAATGATTAAAAATAGAAAAAAGTATTTTGTCCAAATGCATCCAAATTTATTATACGTCAGTAGTAATAGCGATACCAACAAAAACGCGTCATAAAGTAATTAATAAAATACCTATTAAAAAAAACTACACTCTAACAGCAGCATTATAACTGCTAGAGGGCGCCCAATACTAATTTTGAAATAACAAAATTAAAGACCCGCCAAAGAGCTACAGGTGAACGTTAGTAGCATTAAAAAAAGTCACATTCACCAACAGTCCTTAAAAGCCCATACGATAGAGGCATAACAAAACGTCATTAAGCATTGGTTTCCGGTTTAGCTAATCATACTTCAGAATAAAAGCATATTTTCTTTCTGAAGAAAACACAGCAAGTATCATTCATTGCAAATCAAGATTTTTGAAGGATTTAGCAAGCATATATAGATAAACAATATGTAACCAAATATCATTTTTAAAAATATGCTAAATATCTACTCACTTTTTTTATTTGATACTTTTATTATGAAAATAAATTCTGGATTCGTTGATTCCCAAACGAGCCTGAACCTGAACCTGAAGCAGGCTGCGTAAAGTTGTCGGGCAAGCAGGGACAGCGGATGGAAACCGCTAATGGATCTGTTGATAAAATTAGAAGTTATGGCGAACAACAGCTGATTTTTCACAGGCAAAAAGATATCTTGTTGTTATAACATCTAATCCCAATATTTCGAAGATGTATTATTCCATTCTTAAAGTTATTCCAAATCTGAGCTGTCTGGTAGTGTGGTGCGCGTATTTTCCAAATGCTCCGGCTACAGAATAATTCAGTTGCAGTCGCGACATGAGCTCAGTTGGATCCAGGACAAGAGAAGCCGCTTTTATCCATAAGCTGCTGCTCAATTTGCGACCGAAGCAGAAGTTTAGACGGTGGGTCTGCTTGCTCAGCCTGACTCTTCTGCTGCTGCTCTGGTTCGGAAGTCTGATCACACCGAGCAACCCTTCATCTGGTTCAAGACTCAGGGGCTACAGGAGGATTAGGCCAGGCAGGATGGGACAGGTGAGGATCGGATCCGTTAGTTTTGTTTCATTGTGTCCATCAGGGGCGGTGTTTGGTACGACGTAGTATTAGGGCCACACATGAAGAGAAAAAATATTTTTGCCATGACGAGATTAAACTCGACATGTC